ATATCGAGCAGAGTTTTAACTATTCCTAACATTAACCTTTAAAATTTGAAAGGCCTAAATTGACCCCCATTACCCGTTCGATCCTAAACAAACCCATTTAACTGTAATGCCAAGCTTCCGTGTTATGCACATTGCACACTGTTACCTACAGTGGTCTCCATAATATAGTGAAAATGAATAAAACCAACTAATAAATCTAATATAAATCGAAACAAAAAAAATGTCAACTTTAAACTAAAAATAAGGTGTGAGAATTAGTTTTTCAATTTGTGCCTATTTCAAATACTCAGTGTTAGAAATGGGTCAAGTGTGACGTAAGACTACAGGCTAAAGCTGTACTGAGAGTGTACAAATTATACGTACTAGCATCTATTTGCGATTACCTAATGACTCTTAAGTGATCCTCCATTAAAAAAACATGCAGATTTAAGCATGTACCCTTTTAGCCATTGTTCCTAGGAAAAACTGATTTCCTCGTTTTTCTTGAAAATATTCCATTTGTGGACTCTCCGGATAAAAAATGAGAATAGTTCACTCACTGTTGCAAAGATAAAAGTGTACAAAAGGGTACCGTTGTAATTCGGATCTTAATTCACTTTAAAGTATTTACATGTAAGAGTTAGTGTCTGATCAAGTAATTAGCTTTCTATCTTTGTATGCAGGGTAACATATAGGAATTATCACAATTAAACACAATTGTAGACCAGGAAACCCCGTTACTACCTTCCACATTATTGATCAGATTAAAATGTCAAGGTACCGTTGTGACTTGGGCCTTGCCATCTCTGCATGGAGGGTCACTTGAAATTACACTTATAGTCACTATAAATGATAACTTTGAGTTTAAAAATGGAAACCTCAGAAAAAAACTAATATTTTAGAATTTATTATCTTTTCTGAATGTATATATCGTTTACTTTCATAATTTACAATTTACAATATTTTAGTCACATCTTTAAAATCCAATCGAAAAAATAGTTTTCACATTTGTTCCTAAAATGTCTGAAAGGTTAACTTGTACTTCTCAAGTTTCACGGTAAATTCTTACTTAATATATATGGCAGTTTCGTTACCAGTTTAAAATGGGTAAAATATCATATAAAAACTATTTCAATGGTTACAAAATAACATTCATTGCTAGATTCAATGTTATTCACACTGGGGAAAAAGAGAGATAAGACTAGCGTAGGCCACCGACAAACATATAATGTTTTTACATAAATAATTTTCCAAAAAATAGACTCCGAGAAGTAGTTTGTCGAAAAAGTTCAAAATCCGTAAATTAAAAATATCGTACTTTTCGCGAAAGTCGTCTTCTTTTCTTAATATGGCCGCCAGGCAAGGAAGAGAGTCAAGATGATTGTGAATACGGAAAGTGACGTGGCATTTGCACTGCTGTATATGCCAGAAGAGCGTTTATACAGCGCATTGTTCAGAGTGCGCAGTAGAGGGAACTTTGGACCATTGCAAAGTCCAAGAAAGTCGTCTGTATCTATGCTCCAGGTCATAACACCGGCCAAGCCTTGGTCAAAAGCAAACTCGGCCTAAAATAATAAATTTGAAAAAATCAAATAAACTTTAATTATTATCTTTCTTTCTTGTAGATTTAGTTTTACCTTCATTCGGAGAGATCTCTCATTGTCATAACTTATCCAGCTGTCACCTCTGAAATTATGATAAAAATTATATAAGAAGGAACTGTCATTGGTATTTACCAGATTCACAACAGTACCCTTTCAACTTTTACGTTATTAATGATGTGGGAGATATTATCGTATTTATAGCTTAAAATTACAATAGAAAGAACTAGCATTGGTATTTACCAGATTCACAACAGTACCCTTTTAACTTTTACATTATTAATGATGGGGGAGATATTATCATAGATAAATAATTAAAAATAGATAGGTTATGTACGCAAAATCACCAAGAATTATACAGTCCGCGAACTCATACTTCTAGGGGTTAAAGTGTACTTCAATGATAAGCGGGGTGGATTGGTGTTTTAATGGATTTCATAATAGAGTGTAAAAGAACTCCGGGAATGGAACTTTTTGAACAACAATATTTCACTGAGCAATATATCATAATGACGAGAACTGAAGAAGGACATGAGAAGGACTAAACTAATTTAAGTTTCTCTCTACAGAACTCATGTACACCACAAGTACTCAATGACATAAGAACAGCTAATGTTCATAACCGACCTAGTTAATCTATATAATAGGAATATCTTTATAACATCTCTGTACATTTACATCTTTCAAGATAAAAAATGTCGTCTTATGCGCAATCTATCTTTATCTATGGATATTATCGTATTTATAGCTTAAAATTCTGACATATCCATTATTGTGAATGCAGCATAATATCCGAAAGTCGCTTTAGCAGAGAAACCACAACTACAACTAATCAACTTTCAAGGAACTGACCATGAATATCTCAATCATTCTTGTTAAAAAAAGGCTTTAAAGGTACCATTGGGAATCGAACATGCCATTCTATAAACGGAGGGTTCACTTGAAGTTCCACCAACGATCCCCTTCGAATTAATTTTTTTTCCCCGGGCAACGTCGGGCCTTTCAACTTGTAAAACATAAATGTAATAACTAGATCAAAGAATCATAAAATTAATATTTTTAGGAGAATTTTGATTTATGGTTTCCAAACTAAATCTTCTTTGGTCGTTCTATTGATAAAATAAGACATTTTGCATTTAAGGAACAGGAATTTATAAAGGGGAGTTTTGGGGAGGGGGGTTGGACTTAATTTTCCTCTTCCTCCTCACACATATGTTGAAGGAATTTGGTTTTTAACAGAGATGTTGTGCTTACAAATATGGAAAATATTATTCAATATTCATAATCCATATTTAGCTGAATATTCAACAGTTAGAGAATAGTTTCATTCTTAGAGAATAGTTTCATTCTTATAGAATAGTTTCATTCTAAGAGAATAGTTTCATTCTTAGAGATTAGTTTCATTCTTAGAGAATAGTTTCATTCTTAGAGAATAGTTTTATTCTTAGAGAAGAGTTTTATTCTTAGAGAATAGTTTCATTCTTAGAGAATAGCTCCATTCTTAGAGAATAGTTCCATTCTTAGAGAATAGTTTCATTCTTAGAGAATAGTTTCATTCTTAGAGAATAGTTTCATTCTAGGAGAATACTTTCGTTCTTAGAGAATAGATTCATTCTTAAAGAATAGTTCCATATTCTTAGAGCATAGTTTCATTCCGGGAGAATAGCTTCATTCATAGAGATTAGTTTCATTCTTAGAGCATTTTTTCATTCTTAGAGAATAGTTTCATTCTTAGAGAATAGTTTCATTCTTAGAGAATAGTTTCATTCTTAGAGATTAGTTTCATTCTTAGAAAATATTTTCATTCTTAGAGAATAGTTTCATTCTAGGAGAATAGTTTCATTCTAGGAGAATAGTTTCATTCTAGAAGAATAGTTTCATTCTTAGAGATTAGTTTTATTCTTAGAGAAGAGTTTTATACTTAGAGAAGAGTTTCATTCTTAAAGAATAGTTTCATTCTTAGAGAATAGTTTCATTCTAGGAGAATAGTTTCATTCTTAGAGATTACTTTCATTCTTTGAGAATAGTTTCATTCTTAGAGAATAGTTTTATTCTTAGATAAGAGTTTTATTCTTAGAGAATAGTTTCATACTTAGAGAATAGTTTCATTCTAGGAGAATAGTTTCATTCTTAGAGATTAGTTTTATTCTTAAAGAATATTTAAATTCTTAGAGAATAGTTTCATTCTAGGAGAATATCTTCATTCTTAGAGAATAGTTTCATTCTAGGAGAATAGTTTCATTCTAGGAGAATAGTTTCATTCTGAGAGATATAGTTTCATTCTTAGAGAATAGTTTCATTCTTAGAGAATAGTCTCATTCTTAGAGAATAGTTTCATTCTTTAAGAATAGTTTCATTCTTTAAGAATAGTTTCATTCTTAAAGAATAGTTTTATTCTTAAAGAATAGTTTTATTCTTAAAGAATAGTTATATTCTTAGAAAATAGTTTCATAAATAAATAAATCAAAAAATATATAAAAGATGAACTATCATTCCATGGAAATCAAGGCCGAGACCCATTCAAAAATAACCGCCAAAGTAATTAATGTAATATCCGATTAATGACACAAGTCTAGTGTGAATCGTGACATCAGGGTCTAGCCAAGTGACCGAAGTCACCTCACCACATAGTTTATTCTTAGAGAATAGTTTCATTTTAGGAGAATATCAATATATAATAGACAATAGTTTCATTATTAGAGAACAATTTTCCAAATTAAAACTTAAGATGGCAATAAATAAAAAATAATTAATTCCCAGAAGTTGTACCTTGTTCGCCTTGGAACAAATAAGACTAATTCCGGAATAAAATTTGTCTCAATTTATTAAAATCATTTCCCCCTGTTTTACCTGAACATGTACGGGGCCTCATGCTCCTCTTCCCACTTTTCCGTCCACGGAGCTTCTGTATCACCAGACTCAAGACAGATCTCATTATACCCAAGGAAACCATCCTCCCGGGTATACGGTCCCTAAACATTCATCATCAATTATATCCCAGGTTTCGGTCCATAAACATTTATCATTAATTATATCCCTGGTATACAGTCCCTAAACATTTATCATTAATTATATCCCGGGTATACGGTCCCTAAACATTTATCATTAATTATATCCCTGGTTACAGTACCTAAACATGTATCATTAATTATATCCCTGGTATACGGTACCTAAACATTTATCATTGATTCTATCCCTGGTATACGGTACCTTAACATTTATCATTAATTATATCCTGGGTATACGGTACCTAAACATTTATCATTAATTATATCCCTGGTATACGGTACCTAAACATTTATCATTAATTATATCCCTGGTTACAGTACCTAAACATTTATCATTAATTATATCCCTGGTATACGGTACCTAAACATTTATTATTAATTATATCCTGGGTATGCGGTCCTTAAACAATTATTAATAATTATATCCCGGGTATACGGTCCATAAACATTCATAATTAATTATATCCCGGGTATACGGTACCTAAACATTGATCATTAATTATATCCCTGGTATACGGTCCCTAAACATTTATCATTAATTATATCCCAGGTATACTGTCCCTAAACATTTATCATTAATAATTGAAGATAATGGTTTGAAGAGGCTGTTGACCTAATTTGAAGTGACACTCTATTAGAAGAGTGGCACATTAGAGCGACAGCGTGAAGAATTTGTGATTACTTATCTTCTCATTGAGAATAGATTTTTTTTAAATGTGGTTCCTAATGACTTGCACATTTCTGTTATAAACAATCTCACAATCAAGGGCGTACACAGGAGGGCTTACACAGGAAAGAGGGGGGCCGTAAAACTAACATTTTCACTGATCCAGGAGGGGGCTGAACCACCATATCCGCCCCACCTGTGTACGCCTCTTCACGCAATGGACGACTTTGTCAGAATTTAACACTTTAAGATAAACAAACGAAGATATCTTCAACATTATTGTTTAAGTAAAAGTTACCATTGTGAATCAGACATACCCATCTGAAAATAAAACAACTAAAATCCCTTAAAATAAAATTTCCCTCTTTTCCCAGTTTTTTTTTGCTCAGTTGATAGATAGATAATTTATAAGAGAAAGTGTAACGTAACCCACAGAGAGCGAAACAGATATATCTGAATGGATGGTGCATCTTTGGACCTACGCTCATCCACTATACAACATTTCTGACCCACGCCGAATCCGCTATACTTCACGACCTACTAGCACGTGGTTTTACAGCTTCCAGATGGGCTTGTGGCCGTAGCGCTCGATCCCCTAGCCTGTCCTAGCCGCACCGCTCGAACCAAAAATTGTCTTAAGTTCAGTAGGGGGATATTGCGTATAGACGATGTAACATTACCATCTGAATGCGCGAGGAACAGTGTTTACACGTCATTAGTCAATTATATCATTTATAAATTTTACAGAGGTGCGACCATATTATTTAGCTCTAACTTTATTCATAATCTAATGACACTTTATCAGTCTTATTCGTTTCTCATTACATATATTTAAAATTTCACACGTACATGTTGTCAAAGATATTTCAATTTGTTAAAATTGCCATTTAGGGAGGGGGAATGGCAACTCTCTAGCTGTATAGTAAAATAATTGTACCTGAAACGATGTTGGGGCGGCAGGAGCTCCCATCTTATTAGAATTCGGGTTAAGAAGAGTAAAAGCTCGACCATACAGAGGTACACCTAAATGAAACAAATCAGAATATTAAAGACGTTTGAAATGATCAAACTTTTAAAATGAATTCGAAAAAAAATTTCCACTTCAAAACTATTTTTCAAATAAAAAAAAATAATATGGGTTACCTAGAACGGTTTTTAGAGGATCAGCTCCCTTTTTGAGTAGGTAGTTAAGAGTGTATTCAACATTCAGCGCCTGGTTCATATACATGTTATTGTCTTTATTTTTGCTTCAAAATGAAAATATTATTCTAAATGAACAAAAATATAAGTGTCCATAAGTTATTAGTTTAATCGTAAAATACTATTTTTGTTCAATAAAAAGCTTAAAATAATAAAATAGATTTTTTCATTTGAATTTGCTAGAATATATATATATATATCCCTGGTCTGCTGAAGGTTCTAAAGCTCTAGGATACAGGGGGGCGTTGTGCCCAGTCTTCTTATCCCATTTCCCGTGGTAGTCATAGCACATCACATGTACATAGTCCTAAAATATGTACAGTTTATATACAGTTGTAGTCATAGCATATCACATGTACATAGGCCTAGAATATGTACAGTTTATATACAGTTGTAGTCGTAGCACATCACATGTACATAGTCCTAAAATATGTACAGTTTATATACAGTTGTAGTCATAGCACATAACATGTACATAGTCCTAAAATATGTACAGTTTTTATGCAGTTGTAGTCATAGCACATCACATGTACATAGTCCTAAAATATGTACAGTTTTTATACAGTTGTAGTCATAGCACATCACATGTACATAGTCCTATAAAATGTACATTTTATGTATGGGGATGGTTGTAGCACATCACATGTACATAGTCCTAGAATATGTACAGTTTATATACGGTGGTAGTCGTAGCAGATCACATGTACGTAGTCTTAGAGTATGCACAGTTTATATTTGGTTATAGTGGTATCATATCACGTGTACATAGTCCTAGAATATGTACAGTTTACATACAGTAAAATTTGTACACACCCCACGTTCGTATTCCTAAAATATGCAGTTTATATACAATGATAGTCGCAGCACATCACGTGTACATAGTCCTAAAATATGTACAGTTAATTTATAGTGGTAGTCGTAGCAAATCACATGTGCATTGTCCTAAAATATGTACAGTTTACATATTGTGGTAGTCGTAACAAATTACATACATAGTCCTAGAATATGTACAGATTATATAATTATAGTCGTAGCACTTAACATGTACATAATACATATAGTCCTATAATATGTACAAATTTTATATATTTTTAGTCGTAGCACATTAATTGATTGTCCTTGAATATGCGCATTTTATATACGTTGGTAGTCTTAGCACATCCCAAGTACATAGTCCTAGAATATGTGCAGATTATATAACGTAGAAGTCGTAGTACATCACATGGACTGTGTTGTGTAGAATGTGTTTAAGTAGTCCTAGAGCAAGTAAATTTCATTAAAGAATAGTCATAGGACTAATAGAAAGTTATTGGAAGGAGAATGTTCCCAATTTCAAAATTATTTATAACATGCAGATTTTTATCTTTTAAAAAAATGATAATTATTCTAAAAACGACAGTGATCTGAAAGTCGACAGTAATAATATCAATTGTGAATAAAAATGTTTAAAAAATCATATATTAACATAATAATATAATATATTAACATAATAATATAATATATTAACATAATAATATAATAATTATAAAAGTATTTTTAACTTACAAGATATTTATACATTGCAGGTACGTCATAAGCAGCATCAATAGTGCCAGCAGCAGCTCCAATAGCAGCTGTCAGAAGTAATTTTTCTTTAGAGAAAGCAGAATTAAGATCCTAAACATGATTCCATGAGCTTTGAATTAAAATCAAAAATGTCATTTCAACGCCGATCCCGAGTAAAGTTTCAGATTTGAAACGGGTTATAAAATCCAAGTGTACGACCTTTGTTATTGATTTAATAAAATAAGCAGACCTAATCAAGTGGAATTAATCTCCACTTTGTCAAATTATAATCCAGAAGGATAATACAAAGAATGAATTAAACGTATTCTATGTTTTAAAAAATTCCCAGCTCAAAATACAGAATTCCCAGCTCAACATACAGAATTCCCAGCTCAAAATACAGAATTTCCAGCTCAAAATACAGAATTCCTAGCTCAAAATACAGAATTTCCAGTTCACAATACAGAATTCCCAGCTCAAAATACAGAATTCCCAGCTCAAAATACAGAATTCCCAGCTCAAAATACAGAATTCCTAGCTCAAAATACAGAATTCCCAGCTCAAAATACAGAATTCCCAGCTCAAAATGCAGAATTCCCAGCTCAAAATACAGAATTTCTTTACACAATAAACAGATTTTTTTTGCTTATTTACTAATTAGGAAAGCAAATAAAAAAAGATGTTAACAGCCTGCTAGTTCTAATTGATGATTAAAGATAAAAAATTAATAAACCTTGATTAGCTCAATAAAGTTTTCCTTGTCCTCTGGTTTTCCTCCTCGTTTAGCTGAAATAGAACATTTTTATATTTCACTAGCTTAAGTGCCCAGCGTTGCCCGTGGATTTTTTCAAAAATCAATTTTTGAAAAACAAAAAAAAATTCTCATTTTTAAAAAAATTCCTATTATTTGGCCTTTGATACCCCCCGGGGTACTAAAGGGTCTCCTCAATAAATTTTAGCCCATTCAGTCAAGCTGTTTGATCAGATATACCGGACATATAAATGTATAGAGTGAAGTGCATTTCCATAATAATTAGGGTTTCCAGTCGTAATTACGTTACGCGTAATTACGCGTAATTGCGCGTAACACTTTCTTTCACTTACGCAGGAACATTACGCGTAATTACGCATATATTACGTTTACGAAAGAAAGTCTAGTTTCGCGTAATTAAGGCGTAATTACGCGAAATTACGTAATACGAAAGAANTTGTAGAAATTACGCGAAATTACGCCGTAATTACGCGAAATGAATATTTCCCCAATTACGCGTAATCCTGCGAAATTACATGAAATGAAAATTATTACGCGTAACTGCACGTAATTACGCGTAAGAGAATAATCTATTACGTTGGAAACCCTAAACTGTGCATTCTAGAAAAATGTTAATAAAAACAATATTTAAGACAACTTAAAATTTTATTAATTTTGTTCAAGATTTAAGCCGGCGCTCAATTGAAACCGGTTTTTGGCGGATTTGAGACGCGGCTCAAATTTATTATCTTACCTCTTTTTTAATCGCACTTATCAGTCATAAAAAGACAAAATATGAACAAACTTATTAAGTTTTGAAAATATAAATTTTACGCCATATTGCTTCTTTACATAAACTTGTATTCCGTCCAATTTGGAGCTTTTGGTCATTGAATAAAACAAACCGTAACTTTATTCAATGACCAAAAGCTCCAAATTGGACGGAATACAAGTTTATGTAAAGAAGCAATATGGCGTAAAATTTATATTTTCAAAACTTAATAAGTTTGTTCATATTTTGTCTTTTTATGACTGATAAGTGCGATTAAAAAAGAGGTAAGATAATAAATTTGAGCCGCGTCTCAAATCCGCCAAAAACCGGTTTCAATTGAGCGCCGGCTTAAATCTTGAACAAAATTAATAAAATTTTAAGTTGTCTTAAATATTGTTTTTATTAACATTTTTCTAGAATGCACAGTTTTACTTCAGTTGTTGATTACAGATATTTTATTATGTTTGCGCACAGATTATCATGATGACTAACACAATTATTACGATTGTGCACATAACACTATCTGTTAAAACCTTAAATAAATCCCGTAATTTAGGTTTGAATAAAAAGTTTTTGTCAATCTATGTTCTTTATTACTTGGTATCAATGAATTGATTGTTGAAATTCAACCCAAGTTATGTCGTAAACGGCTTTTATTTGAAATAATTAATTGATCAGCTAAAAATTATTATAAAGGAGGACTTTACTCTATATTATTTAATGTTATTGCTTTTTTCTGATACAAAAGCAGATTTGAGGTTTATTGGTGGTTTTCTGTAATAAGTAATAAAAGCTAGGTCTAGTTCCAGCTTATTTTTCGCACATTGACAAAAGAACAAAAATATCAACATAAATGATTTTCGATTTTTTTGAATTTTGAAAAATGGAAAAAATCAAGTGAACAAGAAAAAAGGGTCCAAATTAATGCATCAAAATCGATAATTAAAATGCTATTAACTCTGAAAAGACACCCTGTAAAAGTTTACCTGGATACTCCCAATCTAGATCTAATCCATCAAAATTATATTTCCTCAAGAACTGAACAGCACTTGTCACAAACGATTTTCGCCTAGAAGAAAAAAGAATGAAAACTATAAAGGACTGGGTTAAATATATATTATACAGAACAAGCCTTAAAACTTTGTAAATCGTAAACTCGGAATGTAAAGAAGTTTTTGTTAAGGTATTAAAATTTGATGTGTTTATTCTAAATTAAAATTGATGTAAAAAATATTGCACACATATATTTATACTAGGCTTATAGGGCGCTTCGCGCCCATCTTCTTTTTCAACTCTTAATTGTGGCTTTATCTGTGAGCATCATCTCTTTGTTTGTACAGTTTAAAATTTTTTAAAAAAAAATTTGCGACTTTAATAATATTTTTTTGCGCATTTTCAAAATTTTACAAAATTAAATAATTTAAGATAAAAATATTTTAAGATTACATATTTAAAGTCTGAATGGCCATAAACCTTCCATGGGGCCACGTGAGGTCCCACACAAAATTTGGGCCTGATCGGTACAGCCGTTTTGACGTTTATGGATACAAACAAACAAACAGACACCCAGACAAACACGAAGACAAGCCAAATTTATAAATAGATATATATGAAGTTGTAATCTGTTTGTTTGTCTGTCTGTTTGTCCGATCATAACTCAGGAACCCCTGGAACGATTTGCTTCAAATTTTGATTGGGGAACTCTCTCTGTAAAATAACGGGAATGTTCTAAGCTTGGTCTTAGTTCAATAGGTTGATTCTTATTAAGAAACCATGGGAATGTTCTCAGCTTGGTCTAAAAGACGTTGATTCTTTATAAGTAAACTTTGTTCCCAAGAAAAGCTGGGTTCCCAAGCTAGTAAGCTATTTAGAACTGAGATCCCAACACCTGTTTAAAATATAATACTATATAAATATAAACTCTTGATATCCTCTAACCTTGATGGATCTGAGGCCATTGCACTATACTTTTCACTGCCTTCATTCCAGCCACCTATAGCAAGGGTTACCTGGAATATAAAAATAAATTAGACATTTTCAAAACAGAAATTTCTAAAATGAATATGTCCAAGATAAAAATTTCACAAAAGAAAATTTTCCGGACAACAAATTTCATGATGAAATTTACCCAAATGATAATTTCCAAAATGAAAATTTCCAATTCAATTTGGAAATAGCATCAGTTATAAAGGTGTCGCTAGTAAAGTACCTAAAATTCACATATAAAATGCATTAGAAATTTTAAAAAAATATTTTTTCCTGTTGTTTCGATTCGTGATATGTAAAAAATCAAAATCACCTTAAGATGAGGATTAAATTTCTTGAGATCAGTTGCTTTTTTGAATCCTGCCAGACCATATTTATCCTAGATAATATTCATAATTATCAAAGAAATAAGTGAAGAAAGTCAATCATTTTGATCCTTTGTCTACAAACGAAATATCTCATGTTATCATATTTCAGCAGACCCAGTTTAGATAAAGTTGCATCAGATTACCCCTGCTACAGGGAAGTTGAAATGCGGGATCAAACTTTTGGCAAATCCGCGAAGAAAGGAAATACATTGTGTACACTGTATTTACAAAATATGGGGTGTGCACTGTGCAATAATTTTAATTGCAAACTGTAACGAAAGGTTGATGAATGAGGAGTGGGGGGGGGGTATATATGAAATACGTTCATTGCAATATACAAGATAAGGAAGTGTCACAAATGACAATCTCGATAAAAATTTATAATTGAAGCCAAGTTACTGAACATTTTGGCTAGCAAACCCCTGCATTTTTTCCTAATCCTGTACTCTTATCCTGATACTTCCAACCCGGTGCAAATTGTACTAATCACCACATAAAATTATTTGTAAATGTCATATATAGTTTCTCTTTTTTAAATTTCAACCTCAACTCCTTAAAGGGACTCTAAGCGTAATTTCTAGTGTTTTTCTTTTCTTTAAACTTTTTATTTCATTTGCGGTTTCCTTTGCGAATGTAATGTGAACATTTCTTGTTTATGCGAAGCAATGGTGAATTAAACTCACAGGCATAATTAAATACCTTTCAAGTAAAAAAACGACGGTATCTTCCACATTTTTAACCATGGATTCAGGTTTTAAGGGTAACGTTGCAAATCGGACATTGACATCGTTGCATGAAGAGCCACTTAAAATTACGCTTACAGTCCTTTTTTTCAATGCTCATCATTTTTCTGATCTGATCATTTCTTGTNCATATTGATTTTATCCTCTCCTGACACTCCTTTAATATTCCTTGCAATTTGAACTTCCTTCTTTAATTCCTGGATCTTTCTTCCCAACCGAAGCTCAGCAAACACTTTTAAAGGGACTGTCATCAAATTTATAGTCGACCTTTTAACTCAAAACATTGTCAAATTCAGACGGATTAACTGGAATATATATATCTTAATGTTCTTTAGAACAGGGTTAAAGATACCACTTAAAATCGGTTATACAACGTGGTAGGCGATTTTATAAACATAATGAAGACGAATTTTATTTAAATTTTGATTAGTAGCAAGCTTTTTTGAATTAAAAGTTTACACATAGTCAAAGAGAAGCTTTTTTAATTAACAGCTTCTCTCGACTTCAATGTTTATGCGTATCGACACTGTTTAACAGCTTGATATAAATCAAAATTTAAATCGAAAGTCGGCTTTATTGTATGGATATAATCGCCTACCACTGTAGTTTAATGGGTCTCTTAATTTTCCGCCAACTGTACCTTCAAGATTCAACGTTCTTGGACATATTTTCCTTACCTCTAAATCCATCCATTCGTCCAGGGTTTTTATCGTCCATGTTTCTGAATCAAGTCCGGCGAAACTAGAAAAAAAATACTTAAATAAAGAAAACTATGAAATGTAAAATTGATATTCAAAAAACCACAACAAGTTTATTATTGTATAATAAGTGCCCTTCAGAAGATAAATCTTGGTTTTCTCCCGAAAATTAATAATATTTTAACATCTTTCTCTAACACAGATCAGGAAATGTGGAGATATATATCTATTTGTTTAAAACCTACTGACTATAAATTGCAGATTTATGTCTTCTTATTCATGCATTTCCTCTTTCTGTGCAAAGACGATATCTGGTCGCTTCAAGAATATTTATATAAATCTATAAAATAATATTTTCTTATAAAAACTCAAAACAAATCAAACTTTTAGGGACGCCCTATAGCCACACCCGGAAGTGAATTTACTAAAATAGCATAAGTAAAATCTAAAAGTCGTCTTCCTATTCCACTGTACCTGTATATAAGATGAGTACAGAGATCAGGATTAACATGATCTGGAGTAAATTTCCCCTCTCCAGGCCTATAGTTAGCCCACGTACCCCAGTAGCAGACAACCTGATACATAAATAGATGAATAGATAAATAAACTGGATAAATAGATCAATAGATAAAGAGAAGAATAAATAAATAGATGAATAGATAAATAGATTAATAGATGAATAGATAAATAGATAAATAAATGAATAGATAAATAGATGAATAGATAAAAAGACTGGATAAATAGATGAATAGATAAAGAGATAAATAGTTGAATTGATAAATAGAATCGATCAATAGATAGATAGATACATGAAAATCATAGGTACCCCAGTAGCAAACAACCTTATAGATAAATAGACAAAAAATAAATAGATGAATAGACAAAAAATTAAATAGATAAATAGATACATAGATAAGTAGATGAAACCCAACTATTAGTAATTATTTTTCTAACAAAAAAAAATCTTCATGAATTTTACTAAAAAAGAAGGTTAGGGGTATTAATGGGAATCGTACATGACTTAAAACAAACGGTCCCTTGAAACTACATATAAAACTAATATTGAGTTTTATCGTTTCTCTAATGTTCTAAACAGGCCAGAGTTTATCATTTTTATGAATCATTATTGGGATTTATTTATTTATTTTGGGTGAAATAATTTGTCCATAACTAAAATAATCTAATATAAGTGCATACATATTATGGAGAACTCTTAGATCAAATATTTATATCGATCTTGCGGTTAGGACTTTAGTGTGGATATTGTTAATATTAAAAGCTTGAACTCGACATCCAATGTGGGCATTTTTAAATCTTGAGAATAAATACATGTTCTCTCGAATAAAATAATCCCCATGCAGGGTATGACCATCAGGGGATATCGAAGAGAAATCAAATTAATCCGTTGATCGGCATTTAGATCAATACTTAATCTTGAGATTAACAACACATTAGTTCAGAGTACTTCTAAATAAATAATTACAGGGATTTTTAAAAAAATAATATTTCTATTATTCGTAATTTTCCTTAAAATTTCTCCCTTTCCGTTTGTTTCCCGAAGTTATTTATTATGTTTGATTAAATTTAATTTGCTGATTGCGATAACACGGTTTTTGTCTGACTGTAGATATATCAGTTTTCATTCAGACCCGGAAACCTTTTGACAAAACAACGAAACTGGGTTATAAAATGGACAAATTCTTAGATAAACGCAGTCAATAGAAAAAATGTCTTTGTAAACATATCACTGAAAACTTTTGAAATGATTCGAAAAAATCAAAACCAGGTTTACTTTGTCTAAAGTTTCCAACTCTGGTGATTCTAAAAAGAGAAAGGGTGAATCGGAAAGAAGAGATTATTTAGGGGAGGGGGGTGCCCCCACAGAAGAGAGGGAGGAAGAAATAAAAAGGAAAAACGGCAAAATTTTATGTTTAAGAAAAATTTAAATTTCCTTTAATGTTTATCCATCTATTTAGAACATTACATTAAGTGCCTAAATGTATATTTTCAAACAGATTTACCAATAAAACTGAATTCTATATTTCATCTCACCTGCCCCTGAAGCCTGCACCTTTTCAATTTACTTTTTCTTCTCCCTACACACCCTTTCACGTCTCCTTTCCCATCTTCTTTTCTGTCCTTTCTGTCCTTTCTACCCTTTCTGTCCTTTCTGTCCTTTCTGTCCTTTCTGCCCATTCTGTCATTTCTGTCCTCTCTGTCCTCTTTGTCATTTTCCGTCCTTTCTGTCATTTTCCGTCCTTTCTGCCATTTTCCGTCCTCTTTTGGTCCATTTCAGTCTCCTTTACATTACCTTTTTGTTACCTATTTGTTCGTTTTCCGTTCGTTTTCCGTTAGTTTTCCGTTAGTATTTCCGTACGTTTTCCGATTTTTCGTTCGTTTTTTTATTCCCGTTCCGTTCCTTTCCGCCCCCTTTGCGTTCCCTTTCAATTCCATGCCTTTCCCATCCCTGTCCCTTCCATTCCTGTCCCTTTTACACCCCTATCCCCCCAACCNGATAGATAGATAGATAGATAGATAGATAGATAGATAGATAGATAGATAGATAGATAGATAGATAGATAGATAGATAGATAGATAGATAGATAGATAGATAGATAGATAGATAGATAGATAGATAGATAGATAGATAGATAGATAGATAGATAGATAGATAGATAGATAGATAGATAGATAGATAGATAGATAGATAGATAGATAGATAGATAGATAGATAGATAGATAGATAGATAGATAGATAGATAGATAGATAGATAGATAGATAGATAGATAGATAGATAGATAGATAGATAGATAGATAGATAGATAGATAGATAGATAGATAGATAGATAGATAGATAGATAGATAGATAGATAGATAGATAGATAGATAGATAGATAGATAGATAGATAGATAGATAGATAGATAGATAGATAGATAGATAGATAGATAGATAGATAGATAGATAGATAGATAGATAGATAGATAGATAGATAGATAGATAGATAGATAGATAGATAGATAGATAGATAGATAGATAGATAGATAGATAGATAGCCTAGATAGATAGATAGATAATATTCGGATAGATTCATACATAGATAGATAGATAGATAGATAGAAAGATAATTAGATAGATAATTAGATAGATAATTAGATAGATAGATAGATAGATAGATAGATAGATAGATAGATAATAGTCGGATATATTCATAGATAGATAGATAGATAGATAGATAGTTAGATAGATAGCTAATAGTGGGATAGATTCATAGATAGATAGATTGATAATTAGATAGATAGATAGATAGATAAATGGATAGATGAATAAATAGATAAATTATTTAATTATGCAGGTTGCATGCCAACTTGGTCACTGTACACTCTGAAGCTTTACTGGTCACTTTCTATTCTTCATAATTTATGCAAACATCTATATCTCATCTATCACTGAACTTTATATTTTATTTGATCATCTCTCAAAAATATATTTCAATATTATCATTTTCCCAATTTGTAGTCTACGTTCAAAAATACATTTTCCAAATTTTGATTTTTTATTTAACCTCCTTTTCGTCGGTGAAAAAGTATGATGTGTAAACTAGAGCAATGTGTAAACTATAAACTTCAAATTAAAAAAACATTAAAGCATTTTTTAACAAATTAATCTGAGCAATATGCGAGAACTAGCAGTCGACTATATTTTATTCTATAGGTATTCAACATTATAATAGAGGGGGGGGGGCGGAGGTATTCGTAATTCGTTCACAATTTTACAACAATAATCAATAAGAGGACCCAAGAAGAAGATCAATTAGAAAATCTAAGTTAAGATCAAGTAGAAAATCTAAGTTAAGATCAATTAGAAAATCTAAGTTAAGATCAATTAGAAAATCTAAGTTAAGATCAATTAGAAAATATAAGTTAAGATCAATTAGAAAATCTAAGTTAAGATCAAGTAGAAAATGTAAGAAGATCAATTAGAAAATCTAAGTCAAGATCAATTAGAAAATATAAGTTAAGATCAAGTAGAAAATCTAAGTTAAGATCAAGTAGAAAATGTAAGAAGATCAATTAGAAAATCTAAGTCAAAATCAATTAGAAAATATAAGTTAAGATCAATTAGAAAATCTAAGTTAAGATCAAATAGAAAACCTAATTTATGGTTAATAAGGAAATTTAAGAAGATCAATTAGAAAATTTAAAAGATCAATAAGAAAATTTAAGTAGATCAATCAGGAAATATAAAAAGATCAATAAGAAAACCTTAGAAAATCTATAAGAAAATCTAAGAAGATCAATTAGGAAATCTGAAAAGATCAATTAGAAAATTTACGAAGATCAATGAAAAAATCAAGAATTATTAGAAAATCAAGAAGATCAATTAGAAAATTTAAGAAGATCAATTAGAAAATCTAAGAAGATCAATTAGAAAATCTGAAAAGATCAATTAATTCCATTCCTCCCTCCACTTTCTTTCACCCGCCCCCTGTCTGTTTGGGTATGAGGTATGAGTATACATATGCTTCTAAACATTCAAGATATTTGATAAGCCTTAAAAGCAATCATAGATGGATAGATAACTAGAGTTAAAGTTAGATAGAGGTATAGTTAGGTAGATAGGTACCTAGATAGATAGAGTAAAAGTTAGGTAGATACGAACCTAGATAGATAGAGTAAAAGTTAGGTAGACAGGTACCTAGATAGATATGGGTATTGTAAGGTAGCTAGGTACCTAGGTAGATATGGGTATTGTAAGGTAGGTAGGTACCTAGGTAGATAGAGGTAAAGTTAGGTAGATAGGTTCCTAGATAAAAGCAGTTAGATAGATAGGTTCCTAGATAAATGTAGTTACGATAGAGTTGTAGTTTGTTCCTAGATAAATCATAAATAAATCTAGATCAAAAGTTGAGAATTGAATAGATTTGGAGACATATCATAAAAATAAATATTAAGGTTCATTCAGGATTAATTAGTTTCCTTTATATAATGCTCTCTGCATCCTGGTATATTGTTAAAAGATTATTAACCCAATTACTGCATGAAAAGATAGAATAAACACAGATAGATGGATGGTTAGATGGTTAAGATGAATATTTAGATAGATAGAAAAATGAATCAATAATAAGATAAGACAAATAGATAGATAGATGAATAACTAGATAGATAGAAAGATAGAAAATAGACAGATATATAGATAAATGATTAGATAGATGGATCTTCTCGGATAGACAGGTAGATAGAAACAAGGATAGTTAAACAACGAAAAAATGACAATAATTATAATTACAAATACTTTTGTTTGAAACATTTTGAAATTCTGCATTCATCTGACAACATTTGGTTTGTTAAAGAAATATATAATCTTCAGTAACCTTCCATGTTTAGTGAGGTATATCTGATTCACAACGGTATATGGAAGATATCGTCGTTTTTCTGCCAAAAAAATACAATTTAACCCTATGTCTCTCATGTACAAATTCGAAAGTAACTGTGAAACCACAATTTTAAATTTCAATTTCTGAAGGAAAAACAAGGATAGCTCCGGCATTGCTCAGAATAAGATTTAAAGATTTCAGTTTTCCCTGCATAAATCTTGTGAGA